TCTGAGGGCCATGGGTGGTGTGAATATAATGCAGAGAATTCGTAGTTTGGAAGTTAAGAGGAGGTGTGGGATTGCCAAAACTATTATCCAGAGGGCTGAGGAAGGGTTGCTGAGGTGGTTCAGACATGTAGAGACAATGGAACGAAACAGAATGACTTTGAGAGTGTATAAATCTGTAGTGGAGGGAAGGCGGGGTAGGGGTCGGCCTACGATAGGTTGGAGGGAGGGGGTAAAGGAGGTTTTTGTGTGCGAGGAGCTTGAACTTCCAGTAAGCACACGTGAGTATATTTGATAGGAGTGAATGGAAACAAATGGTTTTTAATACTTGACGTGCTGTTGGAGTGTGAGCAAAGTAACATTTATGAAGGGATTCAGGGAAATCGGCAGGCCAGACTTGAGTCCTGGAGATGGGAAGTACAGTGTCTGCCCTCTGAAGGAGGGGTGTAAATGTTGCAGTTTTATAAACTGTAGTGTAAAGCACCCCTCTGGCAAGACAGTGATGGAGTGAATGATGAAAGTTTTTCTTTTTCGGGCCACCCTACCTTGGTGGGAATCGGCCGATGTGCTAATAAAAATAAAATATTATTATTCATAATGTTAATAAATTCTTTCTTATCATCTCTATGACATCCAAGAACATTAAAAACCCATAAAAAAAAATTTCATTCACCGTGTTACATGGATAACAGCTGTTGTTTAGGCTACCAAGAATAACAGCACAAGGTCAGCAGTCTGCTGGCTTCATATCAGTATTAATTTGATAAAATTTTATAAAAATTTCAATGACATGTTTGTGTGATTAGCACTTGTAATTGTATTTTGTGAAGGGATTCATGGAAACCAGTTAGCCAAACTTGCGTCATGGAGATGAGAAGTACAGTGCCTACACTGTAAAGGAGGGGTTGGGATATTACACAATACACAAATAACCCGCACATAAAAGAGAGAAGCTTACGACGACGTTTCGGTCCGACTTGGACCATTGACAAAGTCAATGGTCCAAGTCGGACCGAAACGTCGTCGTAAGCTTCTCTCTTTTATGTGCGGGTTATTTGTGTATCGTTCCAGTCACGGTATTGTGCCTTTTTGTTATTTATAGTTGGGATATTTCCTGTTTGGAGGGGTCATCTGAACTGTTGTATCCGTGCACCTCTGGCAAGGCAGTAATGAGTGTAAATGATGGTGAAAGGCCATCTCCCACCTTTCCTCAGCGGGAGATGGCCTGCGTGTTAAGAAAATGTATTTTATTTATGTAATAGAAAAGAAAGTACTAACGATCACAATATAAAGTTAAGGGAGGGTGTATATACATGATAGTGGTTCAGACTCAGATTTCATCAATTTGAAATTGATAGCAGACTGAATTATTAAAACAACTCCCCTAACTAAACAGTGCAACTTAATGTGCTTCTCCCAGTCTCATATATTTGCAGAAAAGTTTATTAGCTAGAGCCATTAAAACAAAAACAAAAACTCATTAAAAGACAACTAGTCATAAAAAGGTGGACTCTTCACAAGAGTAACAGTAAAAGAGTAAAGTCTGAGACAACTACAGTGAAAAGCTCTGTTTCACAAGGCACAGTACTCGCCCCCATCCTCTTCCACATCCTCATATCTGACATAGACAGAGATGTAAGCCACAGCACCATGCCTGCCTTTGCAAATGACACCTGAATTTGTATGACAAGTGTCATCCACTGAAGACATTGCAAGACTTTAAGCGGGCATCAACCAGATCTTTAAATGAGCCACAGAAAACAATATGAAGTTCAATGAAGAGAAATCTCAATTACTCTGATATGGAAAACATGAGGAAATTAAGATTGTATTGGAGTGCAAAACAAATTCCAACCATGTAATAGAGCAAAAAATTAATGTGAAGGACCTGGGAGTGATAATGTCAGAGGCTCTCATTTTCAAAAATCACAACATTATATCTACCACATCCGCTAGTAAAATGATTGGATAGATAACTAGAGCCTTCAAAACTAGGGATGCTAAGCCCATGATGATTCTCTTCAAATAGCTTGTTCTCTCTAGGCTGGAATATTGCTGTACACTAAAGGCTCCTTTCAAGGCAGCAGAAATTGCTGACCTGGAGAATGAACAGAGAGCGTTCACGAAATGCATAAGTACGTTAAAGCACCTAAATTACTGAGAACGGTTGAAGTCCCTTGATTTATATTCCCTGGAATGCAGGCAAGAAAGATACATGATAATATGCACTTTGAAAATCCTAGAGGGACTAGTCCCAAATTTGCACACAAAAATCACTCCCTACGAAAACAAAATACTCAGCAAGAGATGCAACATCCTCTCAAAGAAAAGCAGGGGCACCACGAGTATGCTAAAACACAACACAGTAAGTGTCAGGGGTCCAAGTCTGTTCAATTGCCTCCCAGCATACATAAGGGAGATTACCAATAGACCCCTGGCTGTTTTCAAAGTGCTAGACAGGCATCTAAAGTCAGTACCTGATCAGCCACGCTGTGGTTCCTATGTTGGTTTGCATGCAGCCAGCAGTAACTGCCTGGTTGATCAGGTCTTGATCCACCAAGAGTCCTGGTCACATCTCAGGCTGCGGGGGCACTGATCCCGAAACCCTCTCCAGGTATACTCCAAGTAAGCCATAGGCAGGGCCAAATTTAGGCATAAGCTTAACAAGCTGCAACTTAGGTCCTCACAATCTGAAGAGGCATCTCAAAATTTTATAATTTATTTTTCATTTGCTTATGCCTAAATCTGGCTCTGAACTCATACCTGATGTACTTCTTACATTTTCAACAATTATAAATTTTTTATAAGCTTCAATTTATGTCTGAACAAGTTGTTACAACTGTTTTGTTATGTATCCTGGTGGCATTCCTGTCAAGTTCACTTGTTACCCACCCTCCACCCCACTGGTTTGTTATGTATCCTGGTGGCATTCCTGCCATGTTCACTTGTTACCCACCCTTCACCCCACTGGTTTGTTATGTATCCTGGTGGCATTCCTGCCAAGTTCACTTGTTACCCACCCTCCACCCCACTGGTTTGTTATGTATCCTGGTAGCATTCCTGCCAAGTTCACTTGTTACTCACCCTCCACCCCACTGGTTTGTTATCTATCCTGGAGGCATTCTTGCCAAGCTCGCTTGTTACACAGCCTTAACCTCTGTTAACACCTGCCAAATAGGGCCTCTACAACTTCCAATAGTTTAACCCTTTCAGGATCAAGAGGTCCTCTCCTAAACTCGTTTTCAGGGTCGAAAATTTTTCGGAAAAAAAATTATTTTTCCTTATGAAATGATACAGAATCTTTTCCCGATCATAATGACACCAAAAGTATTAAATTTGATGGAAAACTTGCGGAATTATGCTCTCGCGAAGTTAGCGGTCTTGACGATGTTTACGCATCGGCGATTTCGCCCACTTTGAGCCCTATTTTCAGCCAATTCCAGTGTACTAGTCATCAAAAATCATATATATTTTGCTAGAACTACATCTTTTCTATCGAATGAGTACAAGAAACCACCCATTTACCGATTTCAACTATCCAATAAAGTGGTCAGAAATTGGCAATTTTGCCAATTTCACACAAATTTCAGAAGATGCCAATTTCCAAACAGGGTCCAGAGTAAACAAGACAGACATTCCTGGCACTAAAATAACATTTTCTCTGTTCATTAGTCATGTCCCCAGGCCCCTCTTACATCTCTTTTGCTTTCCACTTTGAATTTTCATTCTCACAAAAAATAGAAGATTTACTGTTATGCAGACTATTGCATTAGTGTAGAAATGGTATAGAAATGGTATAAATAATATAAACATACTTGTGAAAGAATATTAGATTCACCAGTTGATGTGTATTGGACGCTTGGCATGATTTGTTTACTTTTGAACTTTGGTAAATATCGAACATTTCTGCTACTTTGAGCTCAATTTCAAGGTATTTTTCATTGTGAAACCAATCAAAATCATCTCAATTTCTGTAATATGTCTTCCATTCTATAAGATGAGACCAGGAAAACTAAAATACAACCATAAATACCATACGAAAATACACTGTAAAGTCGCTGTTTTAAACCAAAAACATGGTCCGAGTTTTTTTTTCTCATTATGCACTGTGTGCTGCAAGATTCTTTTTATACTGTGCACACTGACCACATAGACCCATTCTTTCATATGTAGGCCTACCAGCTTTCTCTCACTAGATTTGAAGGCACTAGAATTTAGGCATACTAGCACGTCAATAACCCTGGTGCATAAGCTGTACTAGTACGTCGGAAACTCTCAAAGGGTTAAGGCCTGGCCATGTCTAAATCTGGCCCTGGCCATAGCGTATTTCCTGTTCTTCTTGTTGGTGGTTTTAGGGCCACTAACAGCATATGCCGTATCAAGCTCTGACTTTCAGTGCTCAGAATAGGAGCCTCAACCAAACTGGAAGAAAGTTGACCAATAACTGTGTGTACTGTATGTCCCTAATGTGCCCTGAAGCCAGCAAGAGTTCGCAAGTACAGGCCAAAATCTTCTGATGGTCTGGAGGATCAAACCCCTCTCCTTTGAAAAGGAGAGGTAGGGTTAGAGACTGCACCCCCAAATGTGCGCAAGGCCCTACGGAGAAGAGTCCATGCACAGTGGTAACAGGGGCACCACAGTAGGAAGTGCTCCACTGTCTCAGGCTGTGAGGCACACCACAGGCAGTTCAGGGAGTCTGTCATCCAAAGGTAATGCAGATGAGCTACCAGTCAAGAATGCCAAACCCGGAGGCAAGTCACTACAGCATCCACAGAGTGATTGGGATGGCGAGCCCAAGGGCAGGGGCCATTGAAAGATCAGACAGAGCTCAATGTCGAAGAAAAGAGGGAGCGTGCCAGATCCTGTTCTACAAGGTCATTTATAATACGTACATATTTATCAGAAAAAATATACATGAATGAACCTAAGACAAAGTTAACCAGCATCCTAAGAGGCAAGATTCAGTTTCATACAACACAGAAAAACACTACTTTGACACTTACCATTTACTTAAACATGATATACACCACATAGGTCGGCAGAAACAGGAAACACATGCACTTCCTGTTCCATTATCTACCATTCCACATAGACGCTGTAATTTCACATTAGCTGGCATCTCCATACAACCAATGCACAGCGTTGCTTCCTAAAACAAATAAAATAAATATATAAATAAATAAATACATTTTTTTTAACATGTTGGCTGTTTCCCACCAAGGCAGGGTGCTCCCATAAAAAAAAAAACACTTTCACCATCATTCACACATCACATTTTGCAGAGGCACACAGATACAACAATTCAGATGTCACTCTTAAATGTAAATCTCCCAAACCCCTCTAAAGTGCATACATTGTACTTCCCACCTCCAGGACTCCAGTCCGGCTAACCAGTTTACCTGAATTCCTTCACAAAATATTACCCTGCTCACACTCCAACGGCTCATCAAGTTCCCAAAAACCATTTCCCTCCATTCATTCCTATCTAACATGCTCACACATGCCTGCTGCATCTCTAAGCCCCTTGCATACAAAATCTCTTACCCCCTCCTTCAATCCTTTCCTAGGATGACCCCTACCCCTCCTCCCCTCCACTACAGATTTATACACCCTCCAAGTCATCCTACTTTGCTCCAACCTCTCTAAATGACCAAACCACCTCAACAACCCCTCTTAACCCTTTTAGGGTCTGTCCGTACAGTGGACCCCCGGTTCGCGAAGTCATCGGTATCCGAAGCATTATATCGCAAAAAATTTGCCTTGGTTCCCATTACAAAACCCGGTATGCAATACGATTCATACGAGACGTGTCCACGTGTGGCCTGAACTGCCCCGTGTGTGCCAGTGTTTACAAGCCAGCCAGTGTGCGCACATCTAAGGATACATTCGGTACTTTCCATATTATCCATATTATCACTGTTTTTGGTGCTTGTTTCTGCAAAATAAGTCACCATGGGCCCCAAGAAAGCTTCTAGTGCCAACCCATTGAGACCAAGGGTGCTAATGACTATTGAAATGAAGAAAGAGATAATTGCAAAGTATGAAAGTGGAGTGCGTGTGTCGGACCTGGCCAAGTTGTATAGTAAATCCCAATCAACCATCTCTACTATAGTGAGCAGGAAAACGGCAATCAAGGGAGCTGTTCTTGCAAAAGGTGCAACTGTGATTACAAAACAGCGATCGCAAGTGTTAGAAAATATTGAGAGACTGTTATTGGTGTGTGTGGCATGCAAAGAGTACGTAACCTTTATTCGGTGCATGTACACACCCTCATTTACAGGCTATCTCCCCCAACCAGCGAACCAGGTTGCTAAGAGTTGATGATGGGGCCTCGTCGTTCAACTAGTGACCAGGTTCTAGCCAATAAGAAGATGGTTTTAGCAATCGCAGAGGTTATGTGGGTACCACTCTCCTGTCTGCCCTTGTCATTCCCATTCTAGAGCTGGTTGAAGCATGGTCTGCTATCTTGTGGCTTCTATTTCTGCCTTGCTTACCGTGGAGTGCACTATACTTATCACTGTACATAGTGTACATATTGCCGTTCTAAATTGGTGAAGGATAATATAAGTCTAAACTTTTTCTGCTGTGTTTATTTTGTTCCCATTACACCCGGGATAACAGGCCATTTGGAATCCTGGGTTGTAATAGTGTGGATAAATGAAAAACAGATAGCAGGAGATAGCATCTCTCAAGAGATCATTTGTGAAAAGGCTAGGCACTCTCCCCTCCTCCCATCCCATCAATGATCACCAGATCTCCATTAAAGGTAAGTGTCAATTATTCTATTGTGATTATTCTATTGGTATTATTGTTATTGTAATTATTCTATTGCATTAAACTTAATATTTCATGTGGTAAAAGTTTTTTTTTTCATACTTTTGGGTGTCTTGCACGGATTAATTTGATTTCCATTATTTCTTATAGGGAAAATTGATTCGCTTTCCGATAATTTTGCTTTACGATGAGCTCTCAGGAACGAATTAATAACGTGAACCGGGGGTCCACTGTAGTTCTACAGCTTTGAAGCCAGGGTCCAAGCAGTAGAACTATGCCATAATTCTAACAGCTTCAAATTTAGCACGAGAAGGCTAGTAGGCCTACATCTAAGAGAATGGGTCTGTGTGGTCAGTGTGTGTATTAACCCTTTGACTGTTTTAGTTGTATATATACGTCTTACGAGCCAGTGTTGCGGACGTATATATACAGTAGGGCCCCACTTACATGGCAGGTTAGGTTCCAGGCTACCGCCGTAAAGCGGAAACCGCCATAAAGTGGAACACCTTTTTTTTCCTTATAAATGCATACAAACACTAGATAACAAGTTTACACTAACATATATTAAGTTAGCAATAGAACCAGGCATCAAAAAACAATAAAAAAGTACAATACACACATAGTGCACTCATTACTTACCTTAAAATATTTATAGTCTTAATCTAGGGTGAGACAAGTAGTATTTGTTGTAAGAAATCAAGTGTGGTATGTATGGTAGTCAGCCGGGCTACCTTACCAGGCCACCCCACCCACACATATATTCTATGATATTTAAGCATCCCAGAGTGATAAAATGTATATACAGTTCACTCATTACTTACCTTATATACAGTTCACTCATTACTTACCTTAAAATATAGGGTGAGATGAGTAGTATTTATTGTAAAAAATCAAGTGTGGTATGTATGGTAGTCAGCCGGGCTACCATACCAGGCCAACCCACCCACACATACTATTCTATGATATTTAAGCATCCCAGAGCGATAAAATGTATATACAGTCCACTCATTACTTACCTTAAAATATTTGTAGTCTTAATGTAGGGTCAGGAGTAAGTAAATGAGATATAAAAAAGACCTGGAAAACACACTCTCAGATTCTAGGGACCCACAAACTGAAAAAAAAACAAGAATATTGCCCTAACTAAACCTAATGAAACACCACTGCATCCCACTGACACAGCTAACAAGATAAACGACTTCTTCTCAACCACAGGTTCTAATCTCGCCAATAAAATCCCACGTACCAATGCCCATGCCAGGGACTACCTAGATGGGAATTTCCCAAATTCCTTCTATCTTGCTCCAACTGAGCCCATGGAAGTCACCGAGATTATAAAGTCACTTAAAAATAACTCAGGGAATCAGTCTCATGTCCCACCATTATTGTACAAGAGAGCGGCCCACGTCCTCTCGCATGCTATCTCATTACTTTTTAACAAGTCACTAGAAACTAGCACCTTCCCGAAACTACTCAAGACGGCAAGGGTTACACCAATACATAAAGGTGGTGACCCTACAGATTTAAACAACTATAGGCCAATATCAAACCTACCATTGCTATCCAAAATCTTTGAGAAACTCGTGCACAGGAGACTATATTCATTTATAACGGCACAAAACATACTCAACCCCTGCCAATTTGGATTCAGGAAAAATAAAAGCACTAACGATGCAATCATAAAAATGCTAGATCTGCTTTACACAGCACTGGAAAATAAGGAATATCCACTAGGAATTTTTATTGACCTAAGAAAAGCTTTTGACACAGTAGACCACGGCATCCTACTCCACAAACTTGACCATTATGGTATAAGAGGCCAGGCGCTTGCATATTTCAAATCTTACCTTACTAATAGGTATCAGTATGTCACCATTAAAGACACAGCATCAACAACACAGCCACTTGATACTGGAGTTCTGCAGGGAAGTGTCCTTGGTCCCCTGCTCTTCCTCATATACATCAATGATCTTCCAAACGTATCTCAACACCTGAACCCCATTCTCTTTGCTGACAACACGACATATGTCATCTCTCACCCTAATCTTGCCACCCTCAACACCATTGTTAATGAGGAGCTGATCAAAATATCGACTTGGACGACAGCCAATAAACTTACGCTTAACACTGACAAAACCTACTACATTATGTTTGGTAGCAGAGCAGGAGATGCGCAAATTAACATTAAGATCGACAACACTCTAATTGCCAGGCATAATGAGGGCAAATTCCTAGGCCTATACCTCGACAACAACCTGAACTTCAGCACCCATATCCAACACATAACCAAAAAAGTATCCAAAACGGTTGGGATCCTCTCCAAGATACGATACTATGTGCCGCAAACTGCCCTTCTCACACTATACCATTCACTTATATATCCATACCTCACCTGTGCTATCTGTGCTTGGGGTTCAACTGCAGCAACACACCTAAAGCCAATAATAACCCAACAAAAAGCCGCAGTAAGAATAATCACTAAATCCCATCCCTGGCAATACACCCCCCCCACTCTTCATAGATCTAAACTTACTCCCTGTTCAGTACATCCACACTTACTACTGTGCAATCTACATCTACAGGACCTTAAATTCCAATATTAACCCTTTGAGGGTTTTGGTCGTACTAGTACGTTTTACGCGTAGGGGTTTTTGACGTACTAGTACTCATAAATTCTAGCGGCCTCAAATCTAGTGGGAGAAAGCTGGTAGGCCTTCATGTGAAGGAATGGGTCTATGTGGTCAGTGTGCACAGTCTAAAAAAAATCCTGCAGCACACAGTGCATAATGAGAAAAAAAAAACTTAGACCATTTTTTTTTAATAAATCAGCGACTTTGCAGTGTATTTTCGTATGGTATTTATTGTTGTATTCTAGTTTTCTTGGTCTCATTTTATAGAATGGAAGACATATTACAGAAATTGAGATGATTTTGACTGGTTTTACAATGAAAGGTGCCTTGAAATTGAGCTCAAAGTAGCAGAAATGTTCGATTTTTACCAAACTTCAAAAGTAAACAAATCGTGCCAAGCGTGCAATACACGTCAACTGGTGAGTCTAATATTCTTTTACAAGTGCACCAATAATATTTATACCATTTTTTACACTAATGCAGTAGTCTGCATAACAGTAAATCTTATATTTTTTGTGAGAATAAAAATTCAAAGTGGAAAGCAAAAGGATATAAGAGGGCCCTTGAGACGTGACTAATGACTAGAGGAAATGTCATTTTAGTGCCAGGAATGTCTTTCTTGTTTATTCTGGACCCTATTCGGAAATTGGCATCTTTTGAAATTTGTGTGAAATTGGCAAAATTGCTAAATTCTGACCACTGTACTGGATAGTTGAATTTATAAATGGGTGGTTTCTTGCACCCA